AATTATTATTTAAACATATTGAAAAGTTTTACGCTCATTATTAATACAGATTCAAAGTAAATATTTTTTTTGTTTCGAAACTGAAATCAAGGCATATTCAGTTACTGGCAAAACTCAGTTAAAAATTTTCCATATTATTCGTTATTTCTTATTTTGTTCAAAGTTTTTGGTCAAATTCCAAATTTTCTCTTAAACCGTATACTTTTTTTTAGTATAGATAGTATTTATTTACCTCATGATATGCTGCAAAACCTAATTAATTACGAATTTCTAATTTAATGTACTGTTGTCTCCGATTGTACCTCCCAAACCTCCTTAAGTATGCGCACAAATATATCACGTTTTCTCCAAAAATATGTCAAATATATGTTTCGTTTTAACAATTTATGCATCTTTCCGCATTTTGATGCTCAAACTAATAAAAATTAATTTTAATAACATTTATACATAAATTTATGCAGAATACTTCTTTTTCCAAAATTATTCTGGATGATTTTTGTCCATGCGGGCACAAGACTACAACTCACTCTAGGCATATATAAGAACGTTTGATTGTAGTTCTTGGTCAGAAATTTATTGATATCACCAAATATCATACATATAAACTCGCTCTTTAGAAGCTTCGTAGGTGTAGCCAGTACCGAATTACTGTAAACTGCCTATGACGAGCTGATGAGATCTAATAAGAAGAAAAGGTTAGACGTGTCCGAAATGTGGTGTTACCAGCGAATAATGAGGATACCGTGGATAGAGAAGGTTAGAAATGAAGAAGTATTAGAAAGAATAAGAGAACAGGAACATAAAGAGCTAGTCAGAAACATATTCGAAGCAGAAACAGGAGTTAGGAGGAGCAGAGATAGACCTAGATTAGATTACTAACCACAAATACTTAGGGATGTGAAATTTTCTAGTTTTAGGGAAATACGAAGTTTGGCTCAGGATAGAAAACAGTGGGGATTCGTGTCCAATTCGTCTTAGTACTGACGACTTTATGATGATGATATACTTTTATATGGTTACTAATTTCACTATTCACAACTCGACCGGACTACCTTAAACAGCAATGAACCCAAATAATCTTTTAATATCGATTGAGACCGACAGTCACCTGCTTTTAAAAAAAGTAAAATTGAATATGACTACTATACGGCAGAAATATTGAAAATTTCACGATAATAACACCAAAATATGCAATTTACTGGCTGGTTATAGGTTGATGGTTATATTACTATTGTTGATTCAATCATGGAGATCGACTTTGTGTACGCAAACATGCCACAAAAAAATTAAGTCATCTGCCATGTCTAAATAAGCGCTTACGTAACAAAAGAATACGAGAAGAAGGATTGATATTAAGTTATGTGATTCATGTAACTGAACCGTATCGTGCGAATGACACAAGACACAAACAGATTTAAAACATAAGTTTACGAAATCGAAAACCGTAAAAACGTGCGACTTGATGACAATATTCACGCTCGAGTGCCTGTATAATAACAATAATAAAAAGGAATTGGGGCAGACGATTTCGCGAGTAAGTATACAGCCGATTAAAGACTTATTACGGTTTTTAAAAACACCAATTCGACCACTGGATAATTATAATTAGCTACGCAAAAGACCAAGGAGCATTGTCCCCCCATGGGTACCTAAAGAGAGGGGCCACACTGTTGTCGATTTTATGTAGGATGCGACAAGGACGAAAACCTAATATCGCGCCGTTATTTCTTAAATTTTTTTCGCCGTCTTTCTAAAACTGAATGTTTTATAGAAATATTTCCTATTTTTCGAATAAAATAATTCGAAGTGGTCTGTATTCTGTCGAAACTGCCAGACGCGGATCGCGATTTCGAACTTGTTGGATCACATCAGCGCGTCGCAGACAGTTCGGTAAACGTCATCTGTACTACAATGCTACATTTTAGGATTACGTATTCTCAACAAGATCCATTTCAATACATGGATAGCTACTTACTGAAACGAAATCCCGGCGTAGCTCACAATTTTTGGGTAAAAAATATCCATCTTTAAAGACAATCAAAAGTCTAGTCTTGACAAGTAGCTTCTGTACCATAGACCATTATGATAAAATCTGGACTGAATCTTGTGGAACATCCTTCGTACAGTCCAGATCTGCCGCTCCGTGACTTCGGCTTCTTTGTTATATTATTATATCAAATTTCAACGTATGTCTGTGGTGGAGAGTAGTTTGAATGACTTTGAGTAGTATGTATACAAGACAAAACTTTCCGAGCATCCATGTAAGTGTCATACAGTCTAAAATTGTTTGGTGTCCCTATTTTTAACAATTTCATTACTTTTTACACTCATTCTTTTCCCTATCTCGCGATTTCTTACGTACCTTATAACTTGGAAGCAATTTCGCAGATGACAGTAATACAATGGCACAATAAAACATCGAAGCATAAAGCGCAACGTGTCACCGTCGCGTCGAGACAGACGATCTGTTTCGGACAAGCTACCCGCTACTTCCTTGATATGTTACAGAGCGAGAAATTTCTACAACGAATGATAGATAATACCATCTCATCATCGTTGCGTGATGGTACCGTAATGTTCGCAGGTTTAACAAAATTTACTTCTAAGACTGATAACGACAAAAACTATTATATATATCACTATTCACTGCGCTATTTATTTCACTGCTATCACTGTCAATTAATTTCTGGATTCACTTCTGCAACGGTCAATTTATTTCTTCTTATCTCGGCGATCGTCTCTTCCTTTAAATACTCTTTTGTTTACTTTCGGGAACCTTCTCGAAACGTCGGGATATTTTCTTTTTTTCTTTGAACTGTTTAACTGCTTTCTCAGAACGCAGGTACAACACACACATTTACAAATACGGCGTACATGAAGAAATGCGCCCGCGGCTAGTCGGCGAATCGATAAGCCGTTCACGCACACGTGTGCCCGATCGCACACAAACACACTCCTGCTCGCTACAGTACGTATTGTTGGAGTAAAACCGCTAAATGTGAAATAAGTTCCTAAAGTGGAATGTAGGTATTTTGAAAAAACTCTGAAAGACACTTGCACTGTAATAGATGTGTTACATGCGTTTGAATATATTAAAAGTCGAATAAAATAATTTGAAGTGGTCTGTATTCTGTCGAACCATACGTAATCCTAAAATGTAGCATCGTGCTACAGATGGCGTTTATTGCGCCATTTGTAGTATTTTCTCATATTAAAAGTCGTTAATGCAAAAGCGGAATTGCTACGACCACACAACATCTCAAAATAACTGATTTACCGGGAACGCTTGAGTGTACTGAAAAGTTTTAATTGGTGGCCAATTTCAGGATCCGAATGATGTTTTCTCTCTGCTAGACCGTTAGAAAGATTCATAATTCACTGCTTGCTGCTCTTTTTGCATGATTGTTTTTGTTCAGTATAGTCAATCAAAGGATATGCGACAATAGGATAATACACAGGATCAAATCATACACGATCGATGTGCAAGAAAACGAAGGTGCATAAGGATGTTTGGGAGGTACAATCGGAGACAAGAGTACATAAAATTCGAAATTCGTGATTAATTAGGTTTTGCAGCATATCATGAGGTATATAAACACCATCTATAGGTACTAAAAAAAAAGTATACGGTTTGAG